GTCTGCGCATGAGTGGCTGTGAGCAGCTCGATGGGTGGGAGTGTAGTCGAAACAAGTTTGTGCAAGTTCGTGCAAGTTCGTGCAAGCACTGCAGGTTTGGGCTTACGTGGCGATCCTGCCGGCTGTACACCGCTGCTCTCGACCAGAACCAGCAACGCGATGACACAGGCGCGCAAGCACACACACACACACAAGCACACGCGAACATTTGTCAGTATCCACGCAAAGGCACACACGAGGCAGGGGGACCGAAAGACGGAGAGGCAGGCAAAGAGACAGAGACTCTGTGGGAGAGAGGGGAGAGGAAGAGACAGGTGGACAGACACGCACGCAGAGGCAAAGAAACAGAGAGAGACAGAGAGAGAGATCACGCATGTACACACACACACACACACACACACACACACACACACACACACACACACACACACATACGAGCGCCAAACAACCACCTTTTCTTCACAAATGAGGCGTTCAAGAGGTTCGGTGTTGGTCTCCCTTTCGGCGACGATACAATGAGTGACGCGTCTGGCGATATTGTCGCCATGGCTAACTATTGTCTATCCACACCAGCAGCCTTGTCGATTCGACAAAGGGACAGGCCTTCGAGCGTGTCGCGAGCTGTGCAGTTTGCGCGGCAAAATGTAACGTCTGTGTCACACCGCACTGTGTGCCGTGTGCCGCTGCCACCAAAAACGACTCACTCACTCAAACACACACTCGCACACGCGCGCGCAAATAAACGAAGCACACACGCTGTGTTTGGTTGCAGTGTTCCTTCAGTCGCTTGTGCACACACACACACACACACACACACACACACACGCAGTCGATGAGTGCAGTGCTGCTTCTTGCTGGCTGGTGGTGGTGTCGGTTGATGACGGTTGATGATGAGGATGATGATGATGACAATGACGCGACGGAAAAAACGGCTGCCGCCTTTTTTTTTCATTAGTTGCGCATCAAATAAAACGCTAGAGCACAGTGAAGGAAAAGGTGGACGCACTTCCCGCGCAAATCAAAATCGTACTAATCGTACAGCAGTGCTCGCTTGTGGCGGTTGACATGCGAGTCGAGCGAGTCGATGAGGGGTTTCAGCACATCATCAACACTTGAACAAGTCATCAGGAGGCGACTGGCAACCAACAGCAACAACCGCGACAACTCACACTTCAAGCCGGCATACGAGGCGTCGTTGGAAGCGCCCTGCTCTTTGCTGACTGACTCACATGACAACTCCTCACCCATTCTGGCCTTTCTGGGTTGTGACGGCAAATGCTGCAGTCGGCCTTGAATTGTTCAAAACTGTCAAGGAAAGTTCACAAGGTTCGGATCTCCTTTGTTTGGTGCTCAAGGTGTTCTGTCCTTCTTCACACCACACACACGCACACGCACACATACACACACACACGCACACGCACACGCACACCGCACACGCACACACACATGAGGACGCCTTGCACCCGTGACAGGCAAGCAAAGAAGCAAGCAAGAAGACCTTCAGTGTTCGTCATCATGCTGTTGTTCTTCTGTTCCGAACCAACAAAGGGACAACACTGCCACCAACGCATAAGCGGGCACGCATGCATGCATGCAAGGCAAAGGGCCAAAGCGCCAAGGTCACCCGCGCCATGAACAGCTAGCCAGAACGACCGACAATGACACCGCGGAGAAGGTGGTCCATTGTCATTTACGCCAGCCAGCAGCAGATCAGAACATCTGACCAAGGGACATAGCACACAGCTACCACAACAACAACAACGGCTGCAGCCACTCGTCGTTGCAAGCACGCACACAGCACACCAACAATCGTTGCAAACACGCGTCTCCCTTGCACACTTGCACAGCTGTCCAATCAGTGAGGTGAGACCCTCCAAGGCAACGTCACTGGCGCAGTCTTGTCAACAAACAAACAACCGACGACAACCTCAACAGCACCTCGACACCTGTGTTGTGGACACCTTCTACAGACCGCTATAGCCTCGTCTCTTCTCATTCTCCCCTAAGCCACACACACACACACACACATACAGACACACACACACACGCACACATACAGACACACAGACACACACACACTCACATCAACGACCTTCGGAGCCTGAAGTCCTTGCCCTTCCCGAGTGTAGCACAGCGACAAGCAACGCGCTCTCGAGGGCAGCATGTCGACATCCCTTCGTCCACGCCCACGCCAAGCTCGCAGGAGCAGCGTCCACTCCAGCAGCAGCACACCAGCCAAGCACATCTTCGCCCCTTCCTTCATGGGCAGCATGACGTCCACCAAGGACTACGAGCGCGTCTTCGAGGCTGCACGCACCGGCAAATGCCACGTGATTCGCCAGCGCTCCTCAGATTGGGTGCGCACACATGGGCTCATTGAAGGCATGGGCTTTGTCTTTGACACCAAGGTCATCAAGCGCTGGACAGACGGCATCACATGGTGCGTTGATGCGCCTTTGTGTGCTTGTATGCGCGTGTGCGTGCGTGTGCTCGTGTGTGCGTGTGTGCGTGTGTGCGTGTGCGTGTGTGCGTGTGTGCGTGTGCCATCTCTTGCGCCTTGTGTGCCCTTGCGCCCTTGCATACCGTGCATGCATGCACGCAAACTCATCCCTTGCTTCTCCTCTTCCCCCTCCCCAACCGACACGCCAGGTCCGATTCCATTCACCCGCATGGCGGAAATGTCATGATCTACCGTGAGCTCACGCGCCAGGCCACGCGGTCAAAACGCCTCAGTGAAGTGAAGGATGGCCTGCGCAAGAAAACGCTCAAGGACCCAAAGTCCACGCTCAAGGTCGTCTATTACTACAGAGAAAGGTGTGTGCGTGTGCGTGTGCTTGAGTGCTTGTGTATGGGGTGTGCGTGCGTGTGCTTGTGCTTGTGTATGGGTGTGTGTGTGTGCTTTTGTGCTTGTGCTTGTGTATGTGTGTGTGTGTGCGCTTTTGTGCTTGTGCGATGTGTTAGTACTTGTGCTTGCCTGTGCTTGTGTCTGTATCTGTGGTTGTTGCTCATACCCCACCGCCTCGCAACGCCCGTCCCCACAGATCTGCAGATAAATACGGGACATTGACAATGTTCAACCCTGGAACAATGTACTCAGGCCACGACCAGAGCGAAATCGACAGTGAGTTGATCTGCCCACGCATACACGTGTACTCATGCCCTTGTGCTCATGAGTTGTGCGGAGTGTGCACGTGCTCTCCAAGATGCGAGGCAGGATGATGCTGTGCCATATCAGCATGCTCGTGGCTCAATCACTGACTTGTTTTCGTGCCATACTTGCTCTCCTCCAGGTGCCTTCTTTCTGCTCGGCCTGCGGGACCTTCGCGTTTACTGCCTCCCCAATGGCAAGACACACAAGGAGTGGGCAAACTCCACAAGCCGCCCGGCGTCAGCGTCGCCCTCACCATCGGACACATCCGACGCCGCATCGGAGCCAGAGGTGCTCGTCGCCACCCCCAGTGCACATGTCCCGCGCGTGCGGGCAGCCGCGCCCAAGGCAGTGCGGCGACGCAGCAGTGGCGGACGCATGCTGCGTCCTACTGCCAAGCTGGCCAGGTCCTCGTCACAGCAGCTCTTTGGCCGCCCAGTATCGCCAGTCATGCCACCCATGCAACAACAACAACAACAACAACAACAACAACAACAACAACAACATGTGGTGCGGCCTCTACTCGATGGCAACGACATTCGCCCGCACAGCTCGGCATCAGACGCGGAGCCGGTTGCGCTTGTGGAGGAGGATGTGCAGCACATGCTCAGCAGACACGCTGGCAGCGACTCCCCTCACCCTGACGAAGAACGGTTGTACAGCAGTGACCAGCAACACATGCAGCAAATGCATTGGCAACAGTGTCCGCCGCCTCGTCAAATGATGACTTCCCCAACACCATCCTCGTCTTCGTCATCGCTTTCTTCAGCTGCCTCCTCATCCACCTCTTCGCCACAAGACATGGCCACATCCCGTACAGCAGCAGCGGCAGCGGCAGCAGCACACCTGGCTTTCACTTCGTCGTGCGCGCCGCACATGTGGCACCCGGTTCCTCACTACCACCGCCACATGTTGCCTCGATCTGATGTGTATTGTGAGTGATGTGCTTGCTGTGGTGTGGCTCTATTCTTACCTGTCTTCACTCCCCTGTTGGTTCACCTCCCCCGCCCCCTTTGTCCTCCTGTCGATTCGACGCGTGTACAACTCGCTCATCCACAAGGACCTCCCTCTGTTTGTTTCGTTCAATGAGATGTACTTGTGCCGAACAGCATGTGCTGGTTGCATGCTCCCTTCGATCCGTTGACTACCGCCTTCAAAGAACACTCCTCCTCTCGTCTAATGTGTGCCCCACCTCCGCCACAATTGTCCGTGGAGCTGATCGATCTGTCAGTCTCTGTCAGAGAGGCAAGTGTCTATTCGACGCATTTGCGGCCCTTTTCCCTTTGGCATGTATTGTTTACGCCCTCGCTTGTTTCGTGGTTATGGTAGTCATGTGATGCCTAGACTTGGTCGCGTTTCGCACACGCGCATGCAGAAAGAGCCCAACGGTAGCCACGTTGTGACTGCTGTGTTCAGATGATGATACAAATCCCAATCAACCTACGACAATGATATGAGACACACGGTCAGGATGCCAGATAGAAGTCAATGGCAGAACGAAATTGGCAGATACAAGTAGTGGGGAAAGCGATTCTAAGACGAGGCGATAATGGACAAAGTGAGATGAGTGGCACGCCAGCGTTGCAGACACGAGACTCACATCGGTTACACCAACGTGCGCAAAACAACGCGCACGAAGCATGGAAGCAAAGCACAACACACCATGACAGTTATGACAATCGCATCAGTGAGCAATAAGGTGACATAGAACAAAGAACAAAATCCTTCACTTCGTTCCAGGGTCAAGAAGACAAGCAGACAAAGGACATGTCACAGCCCTGCCTTTTCGCGATGGGGCTGATACGAAAATAGACGTACACAAACAGACATAGGTAGACGCAGACACACACTTGCACACACTTGCACACACACACACACTTGCAGACAGACAGACGGACAGTCAGAGAGACAGGCGGACAGACAGACAGGCAGACAGACACAGACACAGACATACACACACACAGAGATACATGCGCACTGGTCATCGGTTTGCGCGGCGTAAGCGGGCGGCAAATTCAGGCAAGACTTGCGCAAAGACACGGCCCATCTCCTCCAAGTGTTGCGGCTGGACCTGATGGCCCTTGTATGGCCCTTGATCCGGCCCATTGTACGTGCTCTCCATTGTGTAACTGCACGTGATGCCCATGTTCCACACGCAAACGCGGGAGGTCGATAACTTGGACTGCACCAGCACAGGCACACCCCACGCATGAAAGGGCGACAATGAGAAAGCGAAAGAGGTTGAGCCCAGCAAGCCGGTCGGCGAGTAAGCAAGCATGAAAACGTGTGGCGCCATGTTCGCGTGCGTTTCCCATGCGCAACAACAAGAATAGGGCCCAGGGCCAAGAGTCTCAGGAGCACACGCCAAGATCACCCACAACAAGAGCCAACAACCAAGCATCACAACAACCCATGATGTATTCACACCTTCTCCACTTTGAAGCGCGTCCCTTTCAAAGAAAATAACGGCGCGCTTGACGCCAACAAATCAGGCAGAATCTGGTCCCAGAAGGCACACAGGCGCAATTGAATAGCGAGGGCAGGCCAGAGCGTGAGATTGGCACATGTGCGAACATTCGGGGGGCGGGGCGGAACGCGTTGCGAGCAACACCACGATTCACATATTCCTGCCGTGAGCGCGGGAATCATACCTGCTCTGCACCAACAGCGTCGTCCACCCGGCAGCCGTACAGAAACACATTCTTGCGACGCGAATGCCCGTGGAAGTCACAGTAGAGCTGAAGCATTGAATATTACACGAGCACACACAACATCAACAACACACGTGCGCACACAGACAGCGCAGAGGCCATGAGACATGGCAAAGCATTGTACGTGAGGCAATTCATCCGCAGGTTTGTTCCGTTGGTTCATGGCATGACTCGAGAAGTGTCGCAAACGTGCCTTCAACACGGCTTACGCACGCTGACTCGAACTCACACGTACATTCATTCATACATACATTCATACATACATACATACATACATACATACATACATACATACATACACACATACACACATACATACATACATACATACATACATACATACATACATACATACATACATACATACATACATACATACATACATACACACACACATACATACACACACACATACATACATACATACATACATACATACATACATACATACATACATACATACATACATACAAACATACACGTGCGCGCGACATGGAAGGGGCACATTGTGACAGCTCACCATGACATCGCGACCGTGGTGGAGCAGATACTGGATGAGGCGCTTTGTGCAGTAGACGGTCGGGTGTTGCGTTGGCTCGGGGTGTGCCCTGATTCATGCACGTGCACGTCGTGCCAAAAGTAAGCAAGACACAAGAAAATCATGTGTGCGACTTTGCCATACAAGTGGACATGTACGAACATTAGTCTTGCCACTCAGACGAGCGCAAGGTGCAAGCACGTGTTCGACAGGGAGACAGCAGGTACATGTGTGTTATTACGTGAAAACGAAAACCAGGGCGAGTCATACCAGCGGCGGTTGAGATCGCAGCCAGAGAGGGAGCAGCGATGGGAGCCGTGTGCAACACCATCAGGGTTTAGCATGGGAACAATCTGCAGTCACAGGCAATGGAAAGGGCGTGAGCGTAGTGCTCGTAAGTGTGTCTTCTCAGCTGTTGTCGAACACGTGCTTGTTTGTGGGAGCTTGGGCGTGTGTGTGTGTGTGTGTGTGTGTGTGTGTGTGTGTGTGTGTGTGTGTGTGTGTGTGTGTGTGTGTGTGTGTGTGTGTGTGTGTGTGTGTGTGTGTGTGTGTGTGTGTGTGTGTGTGAGTGCGACAGCGCGAAGCTGTTGTGAGACGTTCGTGCGAACGACGACACACCTTGAACACGAATCGTCGCCGGAGGTTCTGAGCATTTGGATGATCGCTGCAGAGAAAGTCCAGCAAACCTACACCACACCAGTGTTGTGCATGTGTGTGATTGGGTGCGTTGAGAGCGTGATCGGCAACGAATAGTGTGTAGAGAAGGCCAGTTGCCACACACTGAGCCCAAGCACACGTGCAAACACAAACAGACATGAACGCAACCGCACAAAGGCACAAAGGCACAATCAAACGAACAAGCAAGCACGCAGCAACGTAACATCAACTCAGAGAACCTGTGCACGGACCTTTCATCATGTAGCTTGCGTTTGTTTCGCCAGGGTGGACGCGGCCCGTGAGCACGACATAAGGGCGACGTTCGAGCGGACACGACAGCAAATCCTTGGCGTCAAAGGAGGTGATGGTGAGCAGGTCGCAACGGTTCTCGCACAGCGTACGGCACAGCAGCTGACGGCGCAGGAAGCGGCGCCCCCTCGCCGCTGTTTCAAGGGCTTCGAGGTGCTGTTGCAGTGCCGTGTAGGAGAAGGGGTAGTGGTACGCAAAATACACGCGCGAGTGCTTCTCGATCGTGCGAGGGGTCACAAACGAAAACGTAAAGGTGAAGTAGCGACCGCCTTTCTTCTTGCGGAGTTGCCGGCCGTGTCGGTTGCGGAAGTACGCACACACACACGCGCGCGCGCGCGCACGAACACACACACACACACACACACACACACACACACACACACACACACACACACACACACACACACACGCATGCATGCACACACACACACACACACACACGCATGCATGCACACACACACACACACACGCACGCACACACACGCATGCATGCACACATACACACATAAATGGGCTCCATCTCTCTTCCTCTCCACCTCTCCACCGCCCTCTCCACTTGCACCCTGTCTGACCTGCGAAGGTGCTTGGGAGGAGTGTAAAACGGGTCAACCTCCATGTCTGAGCGCGGGTGTGCAATGCCGGGTATGTTGTCCACAGCACACGGCTTTGCCAGTTGGGGCTAGACCGTGCGTGGGCAGGTTGTGACGGCGGTAAGAAAAGACAGCGAGATGATGCATGTGGGAGAGATGCCTCAGCTACGTGTGAAGCGAGTGCAGTCAACTACAACAGGATCAAGACAGAGCAAGCAACAAGTGGGAGTCGAGAAAGAGCAAGCCAATACCTTTGTTGCTGGCACGGGTTGCGGCTCATCGTTGAACCACGCGTCCGCTATACCACGACAACGCACGCAACACTTGTTGGTGAGCCCCACAGTGAAACAAGGGTGGAGCGAGACAACCCGAATACACAGACCAAAAAACTGGCTCATCATCCGCACACACGCACACGCACACACTCACTCACTCACACACACACGCACACACTCACTCACTCACACACGCACACGCACACACACGCACACACGCACACACGCACACGCACACGCACACACGCACACACGCGCACCGAAGGACGGGTCAACAATTTCAATGCTCATTTCATCAAGAAGCTCCAGCTCGGCCAGCGTAAACTCCATGATTGTCCGTCCACCAAAACCCCGTGGTGATGTAGCGCCAGAGACCCAACTTCGTGAGGCGGGAACACCGCCACCAGCAGTCGCACTGGCTGCCGTCCACTTGCTGGAAACAGACACGCCAGCATCATCGCCATTATCAGCGCCATCATCACTCCCGCGAACAGCGCTGTCATCGACAGCTGCTGCTGTGGGACGCATGGTTTTGTCTGCGCTCTCCACGCGGCGGAGTGGATGCTGCTGCCGTCTTGTGTCGCTTGAGGACGCCGGCCTTGCTGTTGCTGGCGGGACGGGTGACTCAGCATCGGCGTCGCTGTTCTCATCTGTTTCGTCATCATCATCACCACCGTCATCATCATCATCAGCATCATCGTCGTCGTCGTTGTCGTCGTCATCATCATCATCCTCGTTATCACCTTCGTCATCTTCGTCATCACCCTCGTCATAATCAGCAATGTCGATGTTCACGTTGCTCCGGGTCTCATCGACTTCGCCCTCGTTGTCACCATCCTCATCACCATTCATCACATCACCATCGTCGTCTTCGTCGTCGTCATCATCATCGTCGTCGTTGTCGTCATCATTGGGCCCCTCCAAGTCAAAGGGCCGGGTCTCCGAGTCCGCGTTGCTGAGCAGCTCTGCCAGCTCGTCGTCTTCCTCGTCGTCGTCGTCTATGTAGCCCCTGAGAATGCGTTCGCTAAACTGTCCACGGGTATCAAACTCGGAGTGCACGCCAGCTTGATCTTCTGCCCCTTCCGGTCCATCATCGTCGCCAGCTCTTTGCTGGCCATCACCCTGATGTGCATCATCTGCATGTGATTGTCTGCCTTGCCACTGTGCGTCATCATCCCTGCCATCGCTTCTTCGTGCCCGCTCCTGAACACCACTCAGCCACATGCGCACGGCTTCCTCGCTGCCTTCAGACGAAGCCCTCACTGCACCAGAGCGCACGTTGCTGTCAACAGATGCCTTCTTGCTGCCGTTGCCAGACCAGCTCAGCCCATCCGACAGCCCATCATCGGTGTTCATGTCGTCGTGCCCTCCATCAAGCATGGGATGACGGCCGCTGGCGGGTAGTGACGACCACGCATCGTCCTCAAACAAAGCTGCTTCATCGTCGCCATCAGCACCATCACCATCACCATTACCATCGCCGGTGTGCTGTGGACGCACGGCCATCATCAGCCCAGCAGCACCGCCGCCGTCACCATCCTCCTCCTCTTCCTCCTCTTCCTCCTGCTGCACTGCCGGTGGCCGTGGTCGGCGTCGCTGAAGCGTTGGCGACACGCGTGGGCTGACCCGGTAGCGGCCGGGGGCGATGCGCCTGCGACCGCGATGGACAGAGGCGCTATCAAGCGCCGCCGCCGCCACGTCGCCCTCTGTTTCGCCGCCGTCACTACCCTCGCGACCACGACTGCCGTCATCTCTCAAATCAGCTTTGTCCCCGAAGGCTTCCCCTTCACCACCATCACCAACATCAACATCCTCCTCCTCGGCATCTACATCATCATCGTCACCGTCGGCGTTGCTGCCAGTTTGTGCCGGTTGGTGCGCGGTCTGCGTGCGCTGCGGGATGTGCTGCACAGATACACTTTTGCCTGCCATCCGCGCCATGGGGGTCACGGCTGATGCTGGTCGCGTCACACATGCAGAGTGGGAATGCGCGACACCTGCGACTCCATCGTGGTGGCGGTTGTGGTGGCGGGCAGCAAAAGCTGAGCTTCTGTCCTCCTCGCTCAGCTTGGATGGAACGGATTGCACACGGCGAAGGGAGTCGGGGGACAGCGGGCGCCCGGGCGATGACACCGCGCTCTCTGACGCCAACGATACACACGATGCTGGCGATGTGGTGTTGCTGGCAGGCGTGGTCCTGAGATGCTGCGTTCGCGAAACACCGCCGCCGCCACCACCTCGCGTGAGTTTCTGCGACCGTGTGCGCCTCTGCTTACTCCCGCTGGCAGCAAGAGCCGGGCTGCGTCGCTTTGCCCGTGCTGACTTGGGCTGCTTCTTCGTCCGCCGTCGTTGCGTTCGCGGAGAGCGCCGGCCTGAGGCGCGGGCTGGACTTGGGGAGCGGCCGCCACCGCCACCGCCGCCACCTGAGCGTGATGCCAGCGGCTCTGTGCCTTCCTCACCACGCATTTGGTTGCCAGCGGGAGCCTCAAGCATGCTGCTGGCATCGTCGTTGCTGTGGTCATGTGTAGCGTTGTCAGCGTTGTGCGCTGGGCTGTGTGCGACCATCCCAGTGACACGCGTATCATATTCGAAAAGGGGACAGTTTGGATATTCGCCAGCAACAAGGGCGATGGTGTTTGGGGACCATGGCAGGAAGGGGCCGGCCTCATCTGCACCGTCAGTGCCGCCATCATCAGTGGTGACGGTCATGTGCCGCATCTCCTCCGCCAGCGCGCGCCCCTGGGGTGGCGCTCGTCGCTGTAGCCTTCGACGCTGCTGCTGCTGCTGTTGCTGCTGCTGTTGCCCTTGTTGCTGCTGTGCGGGGTAAGGGCTGGATGATCGGCTGTTGGGAAGGCTGTGAGTCATCAATCGCCGCCCTCGGGGCTGCTGGTGCAGCTGCGCTTGCTGCGCTTGCGTCTGAACATCACTTCCATCAAGACTTGTACGTGTTCGCTGCCCCGTGCGTTTGGTCGGCGTCAGGGAACGCTGTCGTGCACCACCGCTCTGCCTCGGTGCTGCTGCTGCTGTTGTTGAGGACGATGATGAAGGTGAGGCGCGTGCACTTGGAGACGGGCTTGGCAGTCGCGGGAGGTGCACGACAAGGCGGCGCTGGCCCGCAGTAGCGCCCGTACCGGAACTCGATGTGGGCGAGAGTGGCAGTGGTGCCGTGATTGGAGAAGACGATGCAGACATGGTCAGCATGGCCGATGCTGATGCTGCATGCCCGAGGGTGCCGCCGCCACTGCGCATGTGCACGGCGCTGGGACTTGCCACGCCGTGTTCACCGGATAGTTGAATGCGGGAGAGCGACACGCTCTCCGTCGGAGCAGCGGTCAGGCGCAGCATCTCTGCTGTGTGTTCAGCACGTGGGGAGAAGGTGATTGGGTTTCGCGGCAAAGGGATCTGCAACTTGGGCTGTTCGCAGTGACGATGAGCAGCGTTTGTAAAAGGCGAGTAAGTGAGTGTGCGTCAGGAAGTGAGTAAGTGTGTGAGTGAGTAAGTGAGTGTGCGTCAGGTAGTGAGTAAGTGTGTGAGTGAGTGAGTAAGTGTACGAGTGTGAGATTGGGGCGGTGGTGTGAAGTATACGTCTAATGTGAATGTGTGCCTACAAGTGCGTATGGGTACTCCATGCATGCATGCAAGCAATTCCGCAACAGGCGTGCGAGTGGTGGTCACAGGTGCTCGTACCATGCATGAGATAAGCACGTCGCAGCAGTCTGAAGAAAGCGTTTCTGTCTCTGATCCTGTCCACATCATGAGAGCAGAGAGCAATGGACGGTGAGAAGATGAAGCATTGCAGCGACAGAACAAGTGGTAGCAAGCAGGGGATCATCAGACACACACACACACACATACACACATGACATAAAAGGAAGGAAGATGCAGCCCACAATAACCGACACACACGCCTACACGTGGGCGCGTACCGGCGAGTGCATTCATGGCGTGGTAGAGCAAGTCAATGCCGCCACACTCCGCGAGCTGCTTCCGGCCCGTTTCTGATGGAGAGTGGACAAGCAATAGAAGGGGCACATTCGCACACACAAGGTTAGGGTCGAAGCAAGCAATGGCATGGTATGCATCGCTCGTTCGCTTGTTTGCTTGCAAGTACCACAGGGGAATAGTGTAGACCATGCGCGGTGAGGGGCTTACTGTGTGAGCAAGCTGCACGGAGAATAGCAACGAAGGACCGACGCAGGTCAACGTGCTTGTTGCTGCAATGGCAGGACGGGGACACACGCGTAGCGGAAACAAGTGGGTGAGATTGACGTTCAATCAGACATGCTCGACGACATTTACATGCAGCGAATGCACACACACACACACACACACACACACACACACACACACACACACACACACACACACACACACACACACACACCGCTTGTCTGTGGCGTTCCATTCGGAGAACATGCCGAGAACAAGACGGGTGCCCTTGCGCTTGCAGAAGGATATGCAACTGGCCGGCACGGCGGAAATGAGGTGGGCGAGGGTGATGCAGCACAGGCGCAGCATGTCTGTGTGTGTCAAAGAAGCGTTTGTCTTCATGATGCTCATGAGAAGCAGCGTGGTGCCGTTCTTGTGCATGGACAAAGCGGACGCCTTGTTGGTGGACACATGGCTGAGCAAGCGCAGCGCGGGCGTGATCATCTTGGCCTCGTTCTTCTTCTGCTTTGCAAAGTGGAGGACGACCTTGAGCGCGCCAGAAACGCGACAAAGGATTGGCAGCCGCTTGTCGTGTGCGGATATGTCGCTGAGGCAGTCCATCACCAGCACCAGGCCAGCGTCACTGCGTACGGCACTCTTAGTCATGACGCGGCACAGCGCATCCGTGGCACCGCAGTCGACAAGGCGGGCACACGCGCGCGACGAATGGGCTGCGAGGAGGGCAGTGACACGTGCCATGTCCTCGAGTGCCGCGTCGTCAGTCATCATCTTCAGCAGCGACACGATGATGGTCAGATACGCCTTCTTGTGGCCAACGGCCTCTCGCACGCGCTCTGCAGAGGAACAAGTTGTAGAGCACGGCACATGAAGTCAGTGAAGAAGGACAAGCAGGCAAGGAAAAGACGGCAAAACGCCGCTCAGCAAAGCCGATGCAGCTATACATGCATACACACGCATGAACGCACGCACATATGCACGCACATGCACAAACATGCACGCATGAGCGCACGCACATACGCACGCATTCACACACATGCACACACATGCACACACGCACGCACGCACGCACGCACGCATACAAGTACACACCTTCTCTCGCCACAATGCGACCGAGTCTGGAGCACTGGAGACGAAGCGCCTCTGCATCGTTAACGGGAGACAAGCTCTCGATTGTCCCCAGGATGCGTCCAGCAGTGCCAACAGCATCCTTGGCAGACTTCTTGTTGGAAGTGGTGCGACGGTGCCCGCTCCCTCCTCGCTTGCCTACGCTGCTGCTGCTGCTGCTGCTGCTACCGCCGCCTGTGGTGCCAGTGCTCTTTGCGCTGCAGGAGCTCGAGCGAGACAGGGGCTTTCCAGTGCTGCTGGCGTTCTTCTTGCTTGAGGACTTGCTGGTGCTGCGGCTTGTGGTTGCACTGCCACTGCTCTTGCTGGACTCCTTTGCTTTACTCTTGGTTGTGCTGCTGCCACTGGCCTTGCGGGAGGCCGGCGCTGAAGAAGAAGAAGAAGAAGAAGAGGAATGAGCAGGGGCAGGAGCCAGTGGCTGCGTGCCCGTCGTTGGGGTCTTTACAAGGGGAGGCGATGGCGTTGGACGATAGGAAAACACGTTGTGGCCGCTGCCCTGCTCGCGCTGCCCCGACAAAGCTGATTCTGCTTGTGCCACGGCCGCTGAGTGCTGTGGAGGCGGCGGGGTGGACGAAGGAACTGGTGATGGGGCCCTTGGCGTGGGAGACATGACAGGTGTGTGGGCGCCGGATCTGGCGGATCGAGCAGATCGGGCGGGTCGCACAATGTTTGGGGACATGGAGTAGTGGTGCCGGTCCTCGTAGCTGATACCGGCGCCCGGGTCTGGTGACCGCGCACGCACTTGTAACTGCCTGCCACCCATGCCGCGTCGAACCAGCCGCGGGCTGGTTTGGGGTATTGCACCCACATGGCGAGAGCTCAAGCCCTTGAGCCCCGCTTTCTTCTGCATCGCTGCCTCGCTTGCAAGCGCTGGTCCAGGATGTTGGTCTGTGTTGGATGGTCGATATATTGCTTGGCACACTCAAAATGGGAAGTCAAGCTGCTGCGTTCTGCGTGCGTGTGCCCGTATGTGTCTGTGTATGCGCGTGTGTGTGTGCTTGTGTGTGTGTGGTTGTGCTTGTAAGTGAGGGAGTCCTCGATGGCTGCCTGAGGCTTTGCGCTGCTCTTGAAAGGCGCAACGGTTGTGGAGGGTGCGAGATGTGTGATGGTTGGTTGGCTGGCTGGCTGGTAGTTGGGGAATTTCGCTCGTCGCTCAACCAGCGTCTCCCAACAAAAAATTTTTGAATCTGGCGGAGGGTCTGCCGCGACTTATTCGAATGTTTTGTGTGTCTTTGTGTCACACGTGCACACACACATCCACACACACACACACACACACACACACACACACATAAACACCCACACGCACTCACACACACACACACACACACACACACACACACACACACACACACACACACACACACGCACGCACACACACACACACACACACGCTCACCCCCCACCCCACCACACACACACACGAATATGTAGCTTCAGTCCGATTGGTTCGTTCAAGTTCAATGCGAAATTAATATACATAAAATGTCATTGTCACATCACATAAGAGTAGCAAAAGGAATGAAATGGGCAAAACAAAAGCACTCGTCCGCACTGCCCATGATGCCGACCACGTCCACACCAGGACCCTTCTACACCTTCCCCTCAACCAAACACTAACCGGCGCCAGCGTCGTCGTGCTTGTCGTCACTGTCATTGAGCAGCCCGGCACTCGCGAAGAGCGGGTTGAGAATGACGGGGTCGTTCAAGCCGCCAGAACCGTCGTCTGCAGGCCGGCGCACGCGGCGCACGCTCTTCGTGCCATCGGGCCCAACACTCTCCACTTCAATGTACCCAACGTCCTCATCCTCCTCTCGCAATACAGGCGAGCCGCCATCGCCAGCATCAGTATCATCATCGTCACTGCTGGCGTCGGAGTTGTCATCGTCACTGTCACCGATGAACCGAGACCGCCTCTTGGGCGCATGCGCAGCGGCACTCGACCGTCTCCGTCGCACACCGTGCAGCGGGTCAGCTTCACCGTCCTCACCGCCAGCGGTGCCATTTGCATCAGAGTACACGAGGCCAGGGTGGCTGAGCAGCGCCTCAAACACGGACGAGCGGGGATCATCTTCCCTTTGTTCGTGCTGCTCCCCAACGCCGGCGGCATCATCGCGAGGCTGTTCACTGCTACGTGAAGCTGCATACACGCTGCGCCGTGCGCTCGTCTTCTCCGCACGGTCATTGCCGTCGGTGAGATCGTGGTGGTCGCTGCGCGTGTCTGTCACGTGCTCTTCGTGCTCCAGCCAGGGGTTTGGTGTGCGCAGAAACGCCGGGTTCGCCGCCTCCAGGGTCCTGCCTTGCTCCTGCTGGTGGCGGTGTTTCTTCCCATCGTCAAAGTTGATCACCACAGACTCGTTCTTGGCCTATAGAACACGCCAGGGGGGGGGAGGGGGAGAGAGGGTGTGAAGGGAGTGCAATCGCGGAAAAACGCGACGGCGAGTGAATCAAACAAAGCAACACGGTAGCGTGAGTTATGAATGCAAACACACGCATACATAAACACAAATACACACGAGCACACACACAGACACAGACACAGACACACACACACAGACACACAGACACAGACAGACAGACACACATAAACATACACAGATACACAGACACACACAGACACACACACACAGACACACAGACACACATACACAGAAACACAGACACACAGACACACATACACAGAAACACAGACACAGACACACGCACACTGAACCAACCCTGCGGCGAAGAATGGAGATGGTCAGAAGAGCAAAGACGATGAGGAGGAGGGCACCAAAGATGTACCCAACAATAACGCCAGGCGACACCGAAGCAGCACTCGCGCCCGCGTTCGGGTTGGCGGTGGTGGGGCTGGCCGTTGTCGTCGACACCACTGGTACCGTGGATGTGCTCAACGGCAGCTGCCCTGTCGTTGACGGCGTCAGTGAACCCGTGCCCGAATCAATGATGACAACACTGCCGGGATCACACAGCGGGTTTGTGGCGCCCGCCGATGCTGAAGCCTGTGCTGCCGATGTTGGCGCCTGCGTTTGTGCTGGTGCTGCTGCTGTTGTCGATGGCACAGCTGTCGTCGTCGTCGTCATGGAAGTGGCATTGGCGGCGCCTGTGCCAGTACCATCACCGGTGGTGGTTGTGGCGTTGGAGCAGTAGGACAGCAGCAAGTGTGTGACCACGCTGGCATCCAGCGTTGCGCCCGTGACGGGATCAATCACAGCGAGCGTGATGATGTGCAGGTCATCCACGCGTGCACTTCCCACCACATACACGGTCACCCCATCTGGCGTGGCATCCCCGAGCGTCAGCTCAACGGCCGATGTCTGGTCTTGCCCGCACGTCGCAGACGCATCGGCTGCGCTGCCATCACCATCGTCGCCACTGTTGCATGCGGATGCTGCTGAGAGCTGCAACTCCACAAGGCTCTGCTGCGAAGCACATGTGTACGGCTGTGCGCTTTGGCTCGCCGTGCCTTCAGTGTCTGTGACTGCGGGGCGGGGAACACAGACCGTGAGTCCGCTGCACCTGTTGTTGTCGCACGCGTTGGCTGGATACTGGCAGCGCGCACCCGTGTACGAAGCCGTGCACACACACGTGTACCCGCTGTCGGCCGTGTTGTCGTTGCAGGTTCCCCCGTTCAAACACGGCTGCTGCGAACACGACGTCTGCAGCTCGTCGCAGCGAAAGCCGCCAAACCCAGCCGGGCACAGGCACTGGAACGTGTTGCGGCCCATGCTGTCCACGCCGTCCACACAGATCGCCCCGTTCTCACACTGGCCCGAAGCACACGTGTCCGTCAGCGCCGTGCAAACCTCGCCCTCGCGTGCATGCAAGCACACCCGCTCCACGCACCGGCTCTCCGCCTGGGAAAACACAAACCCAGGCCCGCACTCGCACGTGGCGTCACCACTGGCGACATCAACACGGCAGGTGTCATCCGGCCCACAGGCACCCAGCACACCGGCACACGGGGTGACGGCGATGGTGGCGCTGATGTTTGCACGCAAGCCCGCAGCATCCGTGGCCAGCAGCCACACCGGCAGGGAAGCAGGTAGCGTGTGCTGCTGCTGTGGAAGGGCAGTCGCAATGAGGGCGTCGAGCGGAGCAGTGACCACGACATCAAGTTGTGCAGTGACACTTAAGCCTGAGGACAGGGGTCCACCAACCTCCACCGAGAACGTGTCACCAATGTCTTCGTCAGCGACAACAAGGCGAGCCAGCGTCGTGCCCGTTTGCACCCCGGCTCCAACACGCAAGCAATACAACGAGCCGCCGTCGTTCGCCTGCGCTGTGCCATCCCCAGCGTTGTCAGCGATTGCTGCCTCGCACTGCACACCCGCAAACCCAGGAGGGCACATGCAGGTGAATGTGAGACCCGTGAGGTCCTCGCTCGGCTCCACACAGCGACCGCCGTTCTGACACGGCGTGTCGCGGCAGCCACACAGCGTCGACACTGCCGTTGGCGCCTCTGGTGCATCGCGCACAACAATGACCGCAGTAAACTCAGCGCTGCTCACCACGCTCACGCCATCACCCCCGACACCGTTGTCGTTGGCGGTGAGGGTGAGGGTCCACACTGCGCCCGCTTCGTAGTTAAGGCGCTGGTCGGTGATGGCGATGGTGCCTGTTGCTGCATCGAGCGAAACAACCGCTGCCTCGCCGCTCACTGCCACATCCACAGCTGGACGCGTGGACGGAACCACAAGTGGTGACGACGAGGACAGCGACGGAGAAGCAGCCAGAGGAGCAGCAACTGTCGCGCGCGCCAGCGTCAGTGTGCATCCATTGCTTGTGCCGGCAACACAGCCCACCACACCAAGCGTCACACCAGCGCCCTCGCCAGCTGCCGCTGCCTGCTGCTCAATGAAGGCCACGTGCATGGGATCACCAACACCAGCGACAGCATGCGGTGTCGTCGTTGCATTGCCGCTGTTTGCCACTGAGGTGGTGGCTGTGAACACGGGGGCGGGCGAGATGGCAGCGAGTGAGGGCAGCAGCGCTTGGGATGGCGTGAACACGGCCGCCTGTGGGGGCTCTGCAACGTCTGCAATTGGCACCACAATGAACGTGACTGCCTCCGTCGTGCCATCGCTGCATGTCAGCGAGACATTCGCATGCTTGGTGCACTCAAAGTCCACGGTGCCGCTCAGTACCACGGCATTTGCAGTGGTGATGGAGACGTTGTAGCCCTCGCGGCGCGAATCGCGACAATACACCGGCCGCGCCCACTCGTCCACACCCCCACCAGCATTGCCGCCGGCGTAGGTGGTGGTGGTGTGGACCGGGCCCGGGGCTGGGGCGGCTGTGCACGAGACCTGCGCTCCCTCAGAGTCGACGGCAGCAGTGATGCGCGCAAGTTCTGCCTGCGTGTATGTGCCTTCCTCCAGTGGCATCTTGCGGATGGAGAGTTGCACCTGCGGTGGTTCATCAACGTTCACCACGGGCACTGAAATGCCCGTCTCGAAGGACAGCGGCGAGGCGCTCACGTCCTGCGCACGCACGCGCAGCTGCAGCGTGGCTGTTGTCTCGTAGTCCAGGGACGCATTGAGACGAAGCGTGCTGCTGTCTTGGTCAGCGTAGATGCCATGCTGCGCAAGCAGCGGCGACGGCGCATTCGTCCATTCGACAGAAAGGCGGTGCCGGCCGTACGCAGTGGTGGGCGCGTCCTGGTCCGACACCGTGCACGTGCCAAGCTGCGTGCCAGGCGACGCATCCTCGGGCACGGGCGTGAGGGCGCACGACACGGCGGTGATGGGATCGTTGGCGTCCTCCACCACGACGCTCACGTTCACGCGGGCTGTGATGGGCGAGTCCTTGGTTGGGTCGTCGACGCTGTCGGTGACGGTGAGCATGAGCAGCCGCCGCTGGGCCGCTTCGAAGTCGAGCGGGCGCTTGAGCACAACGCGCTTATCGCTCAGCACTTGCACAATGTCAAAGGGGCTTGCTGTGAAGGTGAAGGTTGACGGTGGTCCACAGCGCAGCGATGCGCAGTCATCCGGATCAGACACACGCGCGTGTCCAATCAGCAGTGGCGCCACAGTGTTCTCCCTCACACGCACCACAACCATTCCGCCACTCTGTGACATGCCGCTGCCAACGCTCGTACTGCCAGGCGACATTGTGGTTGCGTTGAGGGTGGCTGCAGGAAGGAACGCAATGCTTGGCGGCTCGTTCACGTTTGAGATGGCAAGCGTCACGTCGCTTGATGCCGTGAGCGGTGGCGTGCCAGAGTCTGTGCACGCCACGCGAAGTAACATGTCAGGCGTGTTCTCAAAGTCCAAAGGCTGTGCAAGGTGCAGCTCTGTGGTGTTGCCAACCATCACCACTGTCACCACCACCACCACAGATGTAGACGGGTCACCCGTTGCTGGTGATGACGATGGCACTGCAGTGGTTGAGCTGCTGCTGCTGCTGCTGTTGTTGTTGTTGGTGTTGGTGTTGTCGGGATCAGTGGCAATAGCAGTGACGCGGCAGGTGTGGGTCTGCTGTTCTGTGGCATAAGGGGTGTTGTCCGGATCCACGACGGAGATGCGGGCTATGGGCGTGCCCACAGGCGTATCCTCTGGCACCACGAGCCGGGTTGTTGCGTGCCCTAGCGACAGCAGCGGCTGCAGCTGAACGGAGGTGGGGGCCTCGTTGACGTTCTCCACGGGGATGTCAAACACCGCGGAGATGCTTCGTGCCTGCGGTGTGCCGCTGTCCGTGGATGTGACGCGTACACGCAGCAGGGGTGTGCGCTCGTAGTCAAGGGCCTGGGCTGCTGCAAGCTGGAGCGTGCTGCCGTTGGTGATGATGACGTCAATGGGCGTGGTTGCCTCCTCCACAATTGCGGTGTACGTGTGCGTTTGTGAGGCATCCTCGTCCACCGTCGCAAGGCTTCCTAACACCGCACCGGCCTCGTTCTCGCGCACGGGCGTGGGTGTCAGCATAATTGCCAGGGGAGGGTCGTTCTGGTCCGCCACCGTGACGTCAAACTCGCGCTCTGTCCATAGGCCGCCCTGGTCGGCCGCGCGCACGCGCACGTGCAAGAGCGGCGCCTCCTCTGCGTTGAATGGCCGGGTCGTCTCCAGCCGGTTCCCAACCACACGAAACGCGCTCTCATCACGCGCTGTACAGCCGCCGCCGCCGCGGCCGCTGTCACCTGAAACGGTTGTCACTGTAGCTGGTGCTGTTGATGGTGGCTGCTGCTGCTGCTGCGTGGCTGCACCTGTGACTTCAACGACGCAAAACTCCAGCGACCCGCTTCCACCGCTCGTCGTGTCGTCTGGGTCGACCGCAAAGAGGAACCCGGCTGCCGTGCCTGCAGGCATGTTCTCGGCCACGCGGGTGCCGGAAAGGCTGAGTGCTGTTGGGGGCTCGTTGACGTTGGTGATGTTGATGGTGAAGGTGATGGTGCGGGAGAGGGCGGGCGATCCCGTGTCTGTGCATCGCACCGGCAGCTCATGCGACGCAGCGCTCTCATAGTCAATGAGAAACGGCCTGTCCACGACCACCACCCCGCCAGACACCAGCTGCCCCACAAACTCGCCAGCGCCACTGTTGGTGCTGCCCTCATCTGCGCTGCTGCTTGGTGGCGCGAGGGGGTTTGCTGGGGCGACGATGGCAAAGGGCGAGTTGGCGTCCAGCAGGCGACACGCAACGCCCTGCACTGCGCTGTTGTAGTTGTCTGGGTCGCCAACCGCAATCTCCGCCACAACCGCGTTTGCGGGCGAGAGCTCGGGCATGTGCGTGTTGTTGAGGCGGACGAGGGCTGGTTGCTCGTTCACATCAAGCACCTGCAGCGTGAGGTTGAACACGGCGCTGAGCGGCGGCGTGCCGGAGTCTGTGACGAGCACGGAGAGGGCAATGATTGGGTTGCGCTCAAAGTCGAAGCACGCCGTGTCGTTGGCGAGGAGACTGGTGTCACCAGCAACGATCACGGCCGGGCAAGGCGCCCCGTCTTGCAGGGTGGCGGTGAGCAGCGTGATGGTGTGTGTCTGGCTTGCATCTTCGTCGTCAACGACGAGCGGGGAGATGAGCTGGAAGCGCTGCACGTCCTCGCGTACGGTGCTTGCAAGCAACACGCCGTCGGGCGGGTCGTTTGCGTCGGTGAGGGCGAGGGAGAAGGTGGCAAACGCAGGCAGCTGTGCGTTCACGTCCTGCGCGCTGATGGTCACGGTGATGTTGGCATCGTCCTCCTCGTAGTTGAGCGGTCGCACAAGCACAACATCCACACTGCACCGCGCCACCTCTGATATGTAGTCTGGAACCGTCACGCCAGCAGGCAGCTCGGAAGCAGTGAGCACAGCGCAGGTGGGCGCTGTGTCGTTTGACACGGCAAGGGTGTCGGCGGGGAGCGTGGCAAACTCAATGACAGCGGTGCTGTCGGGGTGGTAGGCGATGGCCTGGCCAACGACGCCGCCCACAGCCTGGGTAGAGACGGGGGTGGTCTCTTCAATGGACGTGGCGGTGAAGGTGATGAGTAGCGGCGGCTTTGCGCTTCCTTCCCAGATGAGCGTCTTGGTGAAGTCTGCAGACTCGGGGGGCGATCCGGAGTCGGTGACGCGGAAGCAGGCGTCAAACTGCTCAGGCACGCCGACAACGGCGCCGCTCAGCACCAGGTTGAGGCTGCTGTCAATGGAGAGGAACGAGCCCAGGAATGACGAACTTGGGCACAGCTCAATCACGTGCGTCTGCGTGGGCCTCCCCGTCAGCCAGTTGCGGTTTCGGTTGTTGTCTTGGTCAGCCACCTTCACAGCGGTGATGTTGTGCGCGCGTTTGTTTGTGCGCGCGTTTGTGTGTGTGTGTGTGTGTGTGTGTGTGTGTGTGTGTGTGTGTGTGTGTGTGTGTGTGTGTGTGTGTGTGTGTGTGTGTGTGTGTGTGTGTGTGTGCGGGGGGGGGTGTTCATACAAGCATGAGGTGACGTGAGAACAGGCATCCAAGTGCACTCAGTTGTTGTTTGTGTGCGTGTGTGGTTGTGTGAATACATGCGCGAATGCATGTGCGTTTGTTGAGCCCTCACGGTGAGCACGAATGCACGCGTGTGTGAGTGTCGAAACGCACTGTGAAGGAGCCGATGGTGTCCGAGGCATTGAGGTCCTTGGTGATGATTGGGTTGGAGAGGGTGAGACGGTGTGGAGGGTCGTTCCTGTCTGTGATGCGCAGTGGCACCTGGAACGTTTGGGAGAGCGGAGGAGAGCCGTTGTCTGTGCTGACAATCTCCAGGTACGTGATCTCCGCCACCTCGTAGTTGAGCGGGATGCTGGTGGCCACGAGCTTGTCGCCAGACAGCGCTATTCTTCCTCCGTGCGTCGATTTGAGCTGGTACGTGTGGGTCTGGTCAAAGTCAAAGTCGATGGTGGACAACTGCGCAATGACGTCGCCCTCCGGGATGTTCTCCGGCACCTTGTTGGGCGAGATTTGCACCAGGTACGGCCGGGAGTTTGCGGCACTGCACCCTGGCACTCCACACACGAGCACAAGACACAGCACCGACAAGGCAAGCCATGCACACCGAAGGCTGCTGTTGCTGACGCCGCTGCGCCTGCTCCGCACAACAACAACGGCAGGCATTGTTGTGGTGAGTGAGAGGTGTGTTGTTGTTGTGGGTTGTTGTGGCCATATGTGACTACATTTCATGGTGTTCAGAGCGACATGTCAACTTCGGAGGGTAGTGGTGGGCAGCGTGTTGCCAGCACGACCGCCATGGGTAGTGGTGGCAGCAGCAGCAAAGCCGTGTCGTTTGCGACGGCGCGCGGGATTGATGCCATGCAGTTTGCCGAGTCGCGCATCCAAGAGATCAAGGGCCTCCTCTCAACCCTCTCTGGCCCAGATCGCGTCCGCCGCGTGGTGCGTATGATTGAAAGCGTGAGTGTGAGTGTGAGTGTGAGTGTGAGCGAATGTGTGAATGTGTGAGTGTGTGAGTGAGTGTGAGTGTGAGTGTGCGTGTGAGTGTGAGTGTGAGTGTGAGTGTGAGTGTGCGTGTGAGTGTGAGCGAATGTGTGAATGTGTGAATGTGTGAGTGTGTGAGTGAGTGTGAATGTGTGCGTGTGTGAATACAACTTGCTGTGTGGGTATCAATCCTGTGGGAATGCGCTGCACATTTGGCGTCACCTTCGATCCTCACTCTGCTTGGACAGCATCAAACGATGCCGAGGCATATGCGCCGAAGGGCAACCAGCCACAACGTCAAGCGGCTGCCCATTCGTCTTCGCCAAGCAGCAATTAGAGTGAGTGACAATGCGTGGGAGTGCCATCGGATTGTCGAACGCGAACAACGGCAGGCATTGTTGTGGTGAGTGAGAGGTGTGTTGTTGTTGTGGGTTGTTGTGGCCATATGTGACTACATTTCATGGTGTTCAGAGCGACATGTCAACTTCGGAGGGTAGTGGTGGGCAGCGTGTTGCCAGCACGACCGCCATGGGTAGTGGTGGCAGCAGCAGCAAAGCCGTGTCGTTTGCGACGGCGCGCGGGATTGATGCCATGCAGTTTGCCGAGTCGCGCATCCAAGAGATCAAGGGCCTCCTCTCAACCCTCTCTGGCCCAGATCGCGTCCGCCGCGTGGTGCGTATGATTGAAAGCGTGAGTGTGAGTGTGAGTGTGAGTGTGAGCGAATGTGTGAATGTGTGAGTGTGTGAGTGAGTGTGAGTGTGAGTGTGCGTGTGAGTGTGAGTGTGAGTGTGAGTGTGAGTGTGCGTGTGAGTGTGAGCGAATGTGTGAATGTGTGAATGTGTGAGTGTGTGAGTGAGTGTGAATGTGTGCGTGTGTGAATACAACTTGCTGTGTGGGTATCAATCCTGTGGGAATGCGCTGCACATTTGGCGTCACCTTCGATCCTCACTCTGCTTGGACAGCATCAAACGATGCCGAGGCATATGCGCCGAAGGGCAACCAGCCACAACGTCAAGCGGCTGCCCATTCGTCTTCGCCAAGCAGCAATTAGAGTGAGTGACAATGCGTGGGAGTGGGTGTATGTGTGTGCGTGTGTGTGCGTGTGTGTGTTCTTGTATGTGTGTGCGTGTATGTGTGTGTGTGTGCTTTTGTATTTGTGTGCGTGTGTGGCAACTGTGCGTAAGGCTGTGCGCAACGCTGCTTATGCCTGACGGCTGTGGCGTGCGCTCATGTGTGCGTTTCTTTTCCCCTTGGTTGTGGAAAAAGGAAATGGAGAGGGTGCCACCGCCAAAGCAATCTGGAACAGCTGCCAAGAAGAGCCGCGAGAAGAAACGGTCCCGCCGCAACCGTCGTCGCCCTTCAAACCTGAACCGGGAGTACGCAAAGCGGTCCGCTCACAAGGTACATGCACTTGTTTGTGTGTGTATGTGTATGTGTATGTGTGTATGTGTGTGCGCGAAATGTGTTCCTTTGAGGTGAAACAGTCCCCACTGGAATACAGTCGAGTAACGAATGAGCCTGCTTTCCCTCACCATACACACACACACACACACACACACACACACACACACACACACACACACACCGCCCCTCAGACGTGGCTGCACACCCACATCTGGCACACGAAGCGGTTCAAGATGGAGGCCTTGTGGGGATGGCGCATTCCCGTGCACGCAAACGAAAAGTCTGTTCGCGCCAACTACCGCTGGGTCAAAGGCGCCCACTGCACCATGGCAGACATGTCCTATTACAGCTGCTTCCAGCTCACGGGCGCCCGCAGCGCTGTTCGCGCCGCCCTGGGCGCCTGCCTCCCATATCCACACCGCATCTTCGACGGACGAGAGCACCACCGCCTCATCACCCGCGTGCAGGCAGCAGGAGCAGCAGACAACACGGCCAGCACTGGCACAGCTGACGACAACAAGGCAACTGCAGGCGCACACAAGCACGGCGAGCTCATTGGTGTCGTCTCTGTCATCGCCACCCCATGGGCCCCAGCACCACCAACCGCAGAAGCATCATCGTCGTCGTTGTCGTCGTCGTTGTCGTCGTTGTCGAGTGATTCCGAGTGCTCTGTGTGGGTTTGGGCGCATCCGTCCATTGCGGTGGACGTACACACCGCCATTACCACCGCAGCAACAGCCACATCAACAACAGCAGCAGCAACAACAGCAGCAGCAACAACAGCAGCAGCAACAACAGCAGCAGCGCAGCACGGAGCCACCACCACTCCAAGCACCAGCACCACCTCGACTGGCGGGAGGGTGAAGGTGGAGGACATGAGCGGAGAGTTGTGCCGGTTTCGCTTGGTTGGCGGTGCATCGCACGCGCTTCTTGTGCGCGCACTGCACGTTGCTGTTGATGGCGAGGAGGTGCAGGCACAGGACGACGGCAACAGCACTGATAATGGTGACGGTGATGATGGAGACAGGGGAGTTGTGAAAGACAAAGACGACACGGGAGAAGGTATCGTGGAAGATGGCGGTGGTGGTGGTGAGTGTGTCCATGATGGCAATGATGACGATCATGATAACGACGATGATACTGCTGGTGGTGGTGGTGGTGGTTCTGAAGGTGTGCGGCAGATGAACACCTCACTGGATGATGGCAGGGCCGATGTTGCTGGTGTTGATGCTGGTACACTGCGCACCCGCAGCGATACAGCGGTGTGGCAATCCCTGCGTGGCATGCGCGACCCGAGCCAGCTGTCGGCGGGCGCTGCGCTGTGTCTGACCGTGTGGGACCCGCGTCTTCGCTCCCCGTCATCCATCCACCCGCCAGACCAGCACGCCGTTCACACACAGGACACCGATGGTGACACGCAGGTTGGTTGGGTTGTGTTGGGGGCGGGAGAGGGGGAGGGACCAATGCCCATGGTCTATAGTATGTCGTGTCTGTATGTGCGTGTATGTGTACGCATGTATGTATGTGCGTGTGTTGTATGTCGTGCGACTTCGTGTGGTTGTGAGTGAGTGAGTGAGTGAGTGTGTGAGTGTGTGAGTGTAATCATGTGTTGCGTGTGATTGCACATGTGACCTGTTTGCACTGTTGCAAGCGTTCCATTCACAGCTCATGATGTCATCAACACTCCCAACCCACCACCCCCACCACCAACACCGCCGCCCACCAACACGAGCAGGCATGCCTGTTAGAGTGGATCACAACATCCACGGCCTCTCCGCTGTGGTCCCCCACCGCCCGCGCAGCTATCAACACATCCAAGCTCCCGCAGAAGATGCTCGACAGGCGCCGCAGCCGCGTTGTTGGCCGCGTTGGGGGCGACCTCCCACCCACTACGAAGGACTCGCTCCTCCCACTCCTCCTCATCCAGCGACCAGGCAGCACAGCCTCAAGGTGCGCGTCGACATGTGTGTGTTTATGTGTGTGTTGATGTGTGTGTGTTGATATGTGTGTTGATGTGTGTGGGTGTGGTTTTGTGTCAGCATGCGTTGAACATGTGTACGTGTCCAGACGTTGCGCCATGGCTGCTCTGTCTATGTGCACTGTTCATCGACTCCATCACCCTCATCCTCTTATTCCCCTCGTGTGCACGTGTGCTTTGTTTAGGCGCGCGTCCGTGTTTGCGGGCCCCGGGAGCGGGTATGCGTGCGGATGGGACGTGGTGCTGCCGTCGGCGTGGGCGCGGGAGGTGTGGCACTGCCTCGTCCACGCCGGCGCAAAGACGTGCGGCCTCCGTGATGTCAGACAGCACGCAACAGAGCAGGTGTGCATGCCAGGGTTAGAGTGAGGGAATGAGTCAGTATGAATGCAAGTGAGTTTGGAAAGTGTGGGTGGCTTTGAGGAAGCGGGTGAATGTGTGTGTGTGCATGAGTGTGTGTGCGTGTGTACATGTTGTTGTTAACACTGTACACGAGTGCGCAAACATTTGGCCATGCACCAACGCTCATGTGTGTGCGCAATCTGGTGCGCTGTTGTGGGTGCTTACACGTTCGGGCCAACACTGCGTTGAATCAGGGCATGCTCGGGTTTCCGTTTGACTTTGTTGGCACGCGTGCACAGCACTTGTGGCGTGCCCACACCAGCACCCAGGACCTGAGCAGGTGCGAGTCTGCCGGTTGTGTCACCGTCCAACATCTTCGTACCCCCCTTGCACGC